TGAGTTTAAAGCTGTTTAACAACTGTTCATTAAATGCAATGATATACAGAAAAATAAAAATCACATGTGTGGGAATACCATTAATCAGACATATGTAATCATTGATAACATTTGCTCTAGCTGAATCTGGCTCATTAACTCTCCAGGGACAGTGAGCACAGAGGCCCAAACAGATGTTTACCAGAGCATGCTTTCCAAACTCTTCAACCTTTCCTTTCCTCTGTACTTCAACTTCAAAGCTCAGAGGGGGCAACCACCCACACATTTGCATATATTTGCATACCTGAAGGAGCATGTTAATTTGAGGCAGCTGTTGGTGAAAGTGAGTAAAATTAAGGAGAGGAGGGAGGACTTCAAGACCTGTTGCAGGAGACTAATGAATGCCTGTTCCCCTGTCGAGGGACAAGAGACCACTTTGGATGGAAATTCGTAAAATTTTTTAGACGTGATTTAGTGGCAGCTTGCAGAAGTACATAACAGGGCCTTTCCACAAATAGGGCAGAATTCTGTTGTGAGAGCTACTAGATATATATATATTATGGAAATATATATAAAGATAAGAATCAAAATATAAATAAATCAATCAAAAAAATGTAAAATAATTTCATTATATATATATATATAAAGAATGGAAACATTTATCAATATAAATAAATCAAAAATACAAAAATCAATAAATAATTAATTATATAATTAATTAAAAGCATAAATAATTAACTTTATATAATTACAGATACAAATAGTTATAAAGATAAGAATCAAAATATAAATAAACCAATCAAAAAAACGTAAAATAATTTCTTTATATATATATATATATATATACACATATAATAATTATATATACATATAATAAAATAAAAAGCATTAATACTAATTTAATTTAATATATGATTATGAATGTGTATATGAATATTTATATAAATAAGATACATAATCATAAATAATGCAAAAATACAAACACACACACACGGTAATTTAATAAGTAAATGTATTAAAAACTGAATTCTTTATGATTTTTGTTTATTATTTTCTATAATTTTATTTACTATTATGGGTGTGTGTGTGTGTATATATATATATATATATATATATATATGTATATACACACACACATTTTTATGTATATAGAGTTAATGCACTTAATGCGTTTTCTATTATTATTATTTATACATATATCTTTCTTAGGATTCAGGCTCTTTTTGGTGTAAAGTGCCAGCAAACGACTGGTTTGTTTTTCTCAGAGATCGATATTAAGCAGGCGAAGAAAATATTGCTCCATACACTCATCCAGAAGAACATTCACAGCTTGCTCTTCATTTAATTGTGCTTCATAAACTAAAAAGGCTCGTGTAGTGGATCTCATAAAAAAGCCAGTAATTACGCTTATGATAATGGCAGCTTTCCTACAAGACCATCGTCATTGTCCAGTGCCCATCTTCAGAAAATACAATCGAAAGTACAATTTGCACACTGCTATATTTAAAGGGTATTTAAACATAAAAAGATTAGCGCCTGGCGCTTTCACATCTGTACATCCTCCAGTACATTCTTGCCACATTTTCCTATCTAATTTTTCTTATGACTAATACCACTTGCCTACGAGTGCTTATGGATAATCACAGTTGGCAGCCTCGGCTGTGTTGTGGATAATCTTTTTAGCTCTTTTCTTGTTCTTGTTCAATTTGTAGGAGTGCTGTGGATCCAAACCAGCCAGCAAGCTGGCCGATATTTGCAGAGATGTTTTGTGAGGGCTTGTGGAAGCTTGGCTCGGTTTTATCATTTATCAATAAATGTAAATTATTAAAGTGTTTATGGCTTACTGACACTCGTTGCACCTGAGTCTGTAACATCAGTACAATGCTGCCAAGCACAGAATATGTTTTGGCGAGGCTTTTATGAAAGTATTTATTCATTCTGCTAATGCAACTTGGTATGATGTGTGGAGCAGATACTGCATCGTGCAAAGAAAAATATTGCTTATAATAATCTAATAAAATCTGCTTTGAAAAACTGGCTGCTTTATGAATGTTATGCATGCCTGTTTCATTTAGTTTGTAATTTTTAAATGATTGGTTTGTTTCTGGTTTATGTTCCATTTGTTTGTTTATTTATGTCATTTTATATTGTGTAAGATGACCTTAAATGCTTGAAAAAAAGCCTAATAATAATAATTATTACTAATAATATTAATAATAATAGTTATTATTATTACTAATTATTTAATTTTATATTGTATAACATGCCCTTGAGTTTTTGAAATGAGCCAAATGTTATTTATTTTTTTGAGTAAGGTGAACTTCAGTGTTTGACAATAGCCAATAATAATAATAATTATTATTATTATTATTATTATTATTATTATTCATTTATGTAATTTTATATTGTGTAAAGTAAATGCAGTGTGTTATTTGTGGCCTGATATTTTGTGCTCTAATATTCCTGTTTTTGTCCAATTCCCAGTGCTGCTAAAAACGATATCAAGAAAAAACAGCTATTGGGCATGCATAAGTTTTCTGACAACACAGAAATGGTTTTGTTTTCCCACAGATGGAACATGGCAGACTTAAAATCAGTCACAGAATGTCATAGCACTGAGAGCACAGGTCAGGTAATTTCATGGAGCACATTTTCATAGAATATCAAAAATGTATGCACCAACAATATATACTGGCAATATGCCCCCTGCAGAGGATACCAATGACTTAGCATCTCTAGAGTCATATGTGTGCTTGCATTTCGAAGCATGCTGCACTATAAATGTTGGTTATTAATATCAGCCTAACAGTCATTCTAAATTTCCCCTCGGGGGTCAATATAATGACTTTATAAACAAATCCAGTCTCATTGGGTGAGCCATATTCAAAGGCATTTGTAAAATGACCAATATGAGCATGCATGGCCGCACCTCGATTGGATTTTATATTAATATTCCAAAGCTGCGACAAACCATTAGTCTCACAAAGATATATGCAGGTCACATTTCTACCCAAAATCCAAAGCAGAAAAACTTTTTATTAGATATTTTTTTGCATAATAATATAAGCCCTTTTTTCCATCGTCACAGTTAAGGGCATCTTCTCCTTAAAGTCTCATTATAGTAATGTAACTGGGCATTTTTTACTTTCAAGAATATTCATATTCATATAATTTCCTTTATATAAATATGATTGAAAAAAATAATTGTAGGTTTTAAAATATATTATTATTGATAATAATAATAACAACAACATAAGATTTCTAAAATAATCATTATATCATTAAGACTTAAGACTAAAATATAAAAAAAATAATAATACACATTTTTTAAACAAATTTATAAAATGTTTAAAAAAAAAATCAAAATAATAAAATATTGTATATTTTATCATTGTTTACATGTATGTGTATGTATA